TCAACAGCGTGCTCTGGAGCCTCACGGCTCGTGAGGGCACCCGCCGCGTCGGCGGCGGAAATACTGTAACCACAATACAATTGGTCGGCACCAGAGCTCTATGAGCACGTCAGTTGGAAGGAGTTGCACGCTGTCCATCCTGCATTTCTTCCGTTCTTTCAGCAGCGTGTTGTCTTAATCAGTGTGGAAAACACGTGCACTCAAGCAGTGCTAGGGTGTCTTTCCTAGTCGTGCCGTACTGGACGGCCCAACCTTGGTGGCAACAGTTTATGGAGTTGGCGGTTGACCTTGTGTTCCTGCCTTCGAATACGGAGCTGTTTGTGCCGGATGAGGGAGGGTCGAGCACCTGTCTCCCCCCCTTCCTGGCAGGTCTGGCAGTGCGGGTTCAGTCGTCTTGTGGGTGCTTTGCTTAGCACTCGGTCGGTCAGTGTGGCGCTGCAATTGCGGGGTTGTGTGCCCCCGAGGTGCGCTTTCCTAGCATTTCATGCCCCCCCTGGGGGCTCATAATATCTTGTAGGGGCAATGGGACCTCAATGAGGTAGCGCCTTAATTGCATATTGTGCAGGGGAGCGGACACACAGTTACGACGAGCGAATAGGAAGGAATTTGTTGTGCGAAGGTGTGCGCTCGGAAGGCACCGTGCAGGTAGTTGGTTTTTTCATCGTGTTGTGTTACCAGCGACTGGAATTCCCCTGATTTCGGAGCGGTTTTCGCTTTGCTTGATATCCGATGCTACCGCCGGTTCCAACACCGCTGGTTCTGGACTAAGTTCGAGTACTTCTTTTGGCGCTGAATGGGTTCGTGTGTCTCCATTTCGCGGCCTTGTGTTTGTTGTTTGTCGTATTAGGTCTGTGTCTTTTCTTTGTCCGTTTTCTCTGCTGTCGGTGACCTGGGTTCGTGGAGCGGTCATTGTTGCAGACCCGGTGTTTCAGTTCAAGCCCCTAGTTTTGGCCGCTTGGTCACCCCTGAGCGGGCACATGTTTTGGCTTCCTATCGACCCTTCCTTCAGTGGGCGTCCGTCAGCAACTGTTGAGTGATCCGTCGCGTCGGTGGCGGTGGGTCAGTCTGTTGGCGCTTTGCGTTTATTTTGTTCCCTCTTTTGCCTGTGTAGAGGTGGCGCGTCCGCCGCCCCTGCTGCTGGGGTGTCGTTCGGAGGTCTTTCGAGGCGTTTGGCTTCGGGAGTTTCGGTGTGCGCGCCTGTCTGGCAGCTCTCACGTCTTTGGCCCTCTTGTGGCTCGGCACGAAGTGCCGTGGTGGTTCAGTATTTCAACCGTTAGAGGGGGTATCTTCTCCTTTGGCATTTGTCTCTGACGCAACAACTTATGCGAGCTTGCGTTAAGTAAGAGGGTTAGTTGGGAGTTGGGAGTAAGTTGGGCGTAAGGCCCAGTGCTGCCCGTGTCCTCAGGGCAGTAATTCATTGCGCGCATTGCACTAATAAGATTATCTTGAATTTGTTGTTTAGCGCGTAAGCATTGCTTATACTCACGCTGATCCTCCAATGACGACAGTGTAAGGTAAAGCCTAATGAATTAGCATCTTCATAACAAGAATCTGTCTTTCTTCCTCTATAATGGCGCAGCATTCATTCGCAGGCAAGCAGGGGAAAGCAGGAAAAGGGGGACTAGACGGCACCGGCAGTAAGTGGCCATCATGCAGGTGCATACACTGACATTATGCCTTGTCATTTTACATTCCAAGGACACGAGCAGGAGAATCGCAAGGAATAGGACAAGCGCAAGGATGGTGGTAAGGATATGAACAAGAGTCGGGCTCAAACGGGACGTGGCATGCCACGTAGCGGCCGTTCGGAGGTATGAAGCCTCTGGTTGCACGACCATGGCTATTAACTAAATGCTTTTTATTGCCTTATTTCGAGGCACGTTATGCCGGTGTCACACCTACAGCCGTCATTGTACGTAACATGCTCACAACTATGTGTTCCTGCCTAAACAATGATTTGCTGTGATCCTTTCATATGCAGATTTATGCCGTCGTTCGTGAAGATGACATCAGCGGAGGCGAGGATTGAGCGCTTTAATAAGAAGACAATAGTGGCTGTATTGTGGTACATTTACATGCGCTTAACATTTGTGTGTCGATTTTTTCTGACGTTAGACTGTTGGACCCTTTTCCATGGTAAGAGTTGCTGGCTGAGTTGCATCGGTCATGTTAGGATTTGCTATGAATTCGTACCTGTCATTCAGGGATAGTTCAAATGTATGAAGAAAGCAGTGAGTGCTGTGGTTCACAGCTGTGAACCTGCAGGTCATGTGCAACGGCGGTGCACTTTGCACATTGTACAGCTCGTGTACTGCTATTGTAAAGCTTTTGTATTGCACGGTTGGCCGTACAGTTCGCAGTCCCGCACGCAAGTCGCAGTCACTCGCGTAAAATTCAAATGGTAGCACATACATTCGCAGGATTCGCAGTCGCGTATGCCGTTCGCAATCCCTTGCGTTTGGCGATACGCTCGCGTTAAAAGTCACCTGGTCGCGTTTAGGGTCGCGTAAAACTCGCGAATTCATTCGCCACATTCGCATGTGCATACGCATTCGCACCATTCGCATGCGTATGCGTTACACCTATAGCTAAGCTAACGCTCGCGTTAAAAGTCACCTGGTCGCGTTTAGGGTCGCGTAAAACTCGCGATATCATTCGCCACATTCGCATATGCATACGCATTCGCACCAGTCGCATGCGTATGCGTTACACCTATAGCTAAGCTAACGCTCGCGTTAAAAGTCACCTGGTCGCGTTTAGGGTCGCGTAAAACTCGCGATATCATTCGCCACATTCGCATATGCATACGCATTCGCACCAGTCGCATGCGTATGCGTTACACCTATAGCTAAGCTAACGCTCGCGTTAAAAGTCACCTGGTCGCGATTAGGGTCGCGTAAAACTCGCGATATCATTCGCCACATTCGCATATGCATACGCATTCGCACCAGTCGCAGCCGCGTATGCCATTCGCTTGCGTATGCGTTACACCTATAGGTAAGGTAACGCTCGCGTTAAAAGTCACCTGGTCGCGTTTACGATCGCGTAAAGTTTGCGTTAGTTTGCGTTAGTTGCTTAAGCTAACGCACTGCCAGCCAAAATTACTCAGCTCGTTCGCATGCGAATAAAGATGATGTGCGTTAGGCCATACGCACAAGCGAACCGGTGCGTTATCAGTGCTTAAGATTGCGTTACATCGCGTTAGCGTCGCGTTAAACTCGCGTTAAAGCCTCGTAACGCGAATTTAACGCGACGTAACGCGATCACCCGTCGTCATAGTGAACACCACTGTGGACAAGTAAAAGCCTAACCCACCTAGCAAGGACAATGTTAGTACCTTGTTGCGGTAAAAGAAACATGTTCACTTTAAGGGGGATCCGTTTGTACAAGAACCTCTTTCCACAGTGCAGCACCTCATACTGTGTCTCTTATGGATGGGCTGCAAGCGACTGTGCAAACAATCTCCAGGTGGAATCCACTGGTACTGGTACCAGTACCAGTGCTGGTGCTGGTGCTGGTGCTGGTGCTGGTGCTGGTGCTGGTGCTGGTGCTGGTGCTGGTGCTGGTGCTGGTGCTGGTGCTGGTGCTGGTGCTGGTGCTGGTGCTGGTGCTGGTGCTGGTGCTGGTGCTGGTGCTGGTGCTGGTGCTGGTGCTGGTGCTGGTGCTGGTGCTGGTGCTGGTGCTGGTGCTGGTGCTGGTGCTGGTGCTGGTGCTGGATTAGGTATTGGAATCAACACCATCCCTATAGGTCGCTGTCGTCGGTCCCAAGCCGCCAGGTCAGTTGGTGTCCCACAGCCGTGGTCCACAAACGCGCTCTTCATTTCCATGCCTGCTACTGTGTGCTTGGGCAACACATATTTCGATGATAACGCATTAATGGCAACATATGGCGGGATTAACTTCAATATATATGCCCTCATCTCTATAGCATCTGTTACGGAGTGGTTTCAGAGCGGTTGCAGTGTGGTTTTGGAGTCTCAGTGGATGTGTGGGTCAGGGGAATGTGTCTGGATGCTTGGGGCTATCCAAATCCTGTTATGAGGCTTGCCTTGATACATCTTAGGGTCCTTTCCTGGCCTATATACGGTATCTAAATGTGGACGATACATGTGAATTTGGTTTTTATTGGATTTTAAATTTCAAAGATAAGCTAACAAACGCTTTCCGGATCGAATAAGTATGTTGTATTTGCTTGTTTAGCATCACTTGGAAGTGGCTCATGTGGTGTAGTGGTGAGCACTGTGGACTTTGAATCCACCGACCTGAGTTCGAATCTCAGCATGAGCTTTTGGCGAAAGAAACCCTCACAGCTGTTGGTGTTCAGGAGTGTTATACTCTCAGGAAATCTGATAGTATCAGTGCGCAATCAATACGCAAGGAATGCGTGCACCCACTCATGGCAATCCATGGGTGATGTGCAGGGGTGTGGAGGAAACGTGGTAGCTCTGGCATGAGAATATTGTACAAGGCCTCTAAATAATAAGCAATAAGGTGCACGGCTGTGCTGCAGTAACACATATTTATCTACATTTAAAAGAACGTACGGTCATATGTACACGCACCTACGTGGCTCGAAAACGACATTACGGACATGTACGACACTTGCTTTACTCGAAAGAGCAAACCATCCATGCCGTTACAATACCCCTTACACCATACTCAAGTAGATATATTTTACAACTGTGCTCGCGTTGTGCGGTGGTGAGGACACTAGGACCGCCGAATGCTCAGTCAAGTCTCAGTCGGACTGTACAACAGCGCACAAACTAGAGGTGATACTTTGAAACAGTCCCTTTGCGGAAGACTAGAAGCTGCTGGTGCTAGTGCTATTGCTGTTGCTACTGCCCTTGCTCTTGCTGCTGCTGCTACTGCTACTCCTACTGCTACTGCTACCGATGCTGTTGCTGCTGCTTTTGCTACTGCTGCTGCTGCTGTTGCTGCGGCTTGCAACATCCAGTAATTACGTCCACGAATAAGGTCCACGACGACACGGTCCATGTATGTACGGCATTACGGACGCCTCCACCGCTGGTAACACGGTTCAGATTTGGTAAGTCAGCGTTTGGCGACATCATCACACCCTCCCCGTCATCATCATGGGGGCCCGGCGCCTGCCCGTCGGCCTCCGGAGCTGGATTTTCCCACGCGTGCTTGACTCCTACTGCTTAGGCGTCGCCTGCCGTTCTTTTGTCTTGTGCTGGGCGCCTGCAGAGGGGTCCTCCGAGAAGTGCATTGCGGAGGTGCACTCCCCCCTTCTACCTAAGCACATAAGGACATAAGGACAAATTTTGGGAGTCGTTATTGACACGCCTTCTCTTCACATCTCCTGGACACTTCCTTCACCTTCATATATAGCTGATAGGGGAACGGCTCCTTCAGCACGGTAATTTACTGCGTTATGTTGATGGATGTTGTGCAGCAAAGCCGAAGCGGGTCAGGGCCCCCTCACTGCGTACACCTACCTTAACTTACATATGCAAAGTGAGGATTTGCCACCCGGGTGTTGCGCCATTGGATAATCCATGATAAAATACCTTCCGGTTTTGGCTAGTGAGCGTTATACAACCTTATTGTTGTGTTTGTTGTTGTTGCTGCTGTTGATGGTGTGTTACACTGTGGGGGGCTCGTCCCGAGAAAGGATGAGCATCGGGGGCCCTGACCGGGCCGAAACACAGCGCAGGGGTGCACGTGCAGCTACGTCTGTTCCTGCGCGCGCGCTTCACTCACTCACTCACTCACGCCAGCCGGGGCGCTCTCCCAGCCCCTGGCTAGGCAACACAGCGGCGCAGAAGACTGCGAACCGAAGTAAGCGAGAGCCGCGCGAGAGGCGCCACACCACCTCTAGGAACCCTAAACAGGCTACCTGGCCCCACTTCGCCTGGCCAGCCTATTCGCGCTCTCTCTCCCCTCAAGAACCACAGGACAAGATCAAACAGAAAACGCCACCGGGGCAAGGGCTCTATATAGGGAACTCCACTACACACTCAAAAACCGAGGCAAGGGAAGACCTACCCACGCCAGACACTGCCCCTCAGAAGACTCTCCTAGCCAAGGACACCCACGCAGCCAGCAAGTCAAGAGATACACGGAGGACCACGGGCCTGAGACGACACACCACAAAAGCCGAGACGCGGTTGCACAAAGAAGACAAACACAAAGCCAGCACTCACACACTGGTCGTCCTTGAAGGCCAGCTGTTCAACTACCACAAGCAACGAACACCTCCCGCGGGCGGCCACCACTACCTCACCGGTGGTCCACTCACAACCGGGGCAGAAAAAAACTGGTCCGCACGGCAGGCTCCTCCTGGGGGTTGTTGTTGCTGTTGTTGCTGCAGTCTTGCCTTAACTACCATCTTTGAAGGTGGACAGTATTATTATGCTTTTGTCCCTATGGCGGATAAATAGGATTATCAAGGTCCCCTGGCGGCGGCGTTGCGTTCCGTTGGCGGCAGTGACGGTTTCCGTTGCGTCGGCTTGCTGCTGACCTGCTTTTGCGGTGTCAGTCCGACGACGCTGTCCGTTGCTGCGGTCTCCCTCAGACGCATCTGAAATCCTTTCAGGTGCACGAGTTCCGCATCTTTGAATATGTATAGCAATTCAAAGATGTGCATAGCCTAAGATTTTTAGTTGGGCGAGGTCGTGCATGGCAGCAGCTAGCTGCAGCCTGGCGTCAGGCTTCAGGCGTCAGGCGAAAGCCGGTGCGTGACGAGGACGTGCTGAGACGGTACACTGAAGCGATTGAAGCAATGCATGCCGCGGCATCTCCGAACGCACAGCGAATGGAATAAGACTTAGATCCCGATTGCATAGACGTTGGCCAGTAATACTGCACGTCCTGAGCTATTCACGGCTTATGGTAAGAGAAGGCGGGAAGCACCCACGTGCACTTGATCCCAAGAAATTGTCCATAAACAGCCTTCAACGTGCTTAAATAACCTAGATGTCTTTATTACCTTGTATTACCTTCAGCAACATGATCTGTAGGCACACCAACCTTCAGCACGCCCACCTCCACCGCAGTTCATCAGCCCCTTGCAACATCCCCTTTCAACGGTCTGGAGAGGTCTCCGGGAAATTGTGGCGTCAACTATGAAGAGAGGATTATGCTTTCAACCCAAAACGCTTCCCAGTTGTGTGAAAAACTAAAGAAAGCTTAAAGTTGTTATGGTATTCGGTAAGGTGTCCTTACGGCTGGTCGTTCCTCATAACCTTGACCAGGCAGATATAGACAGGAACTATGACTCAATGTCATGTCAAATTATTTCTTGGAAATTGGCTTTACCTTCCTTGGCTAGGGAAATTGTCATTCCGTACGCACATGTTTTGGTGTTCCCTCACGGATAACGCTTCTTGCTACATCACAGCATTTTTTAAAATGATTATGACACGTCTTTATTACTATCGGCTCATCTCCCTTTTTATCTGCGATCGACGGAATTGGTAGTTCGTTACAAATCCGCCCGTCTCTAGCTACCGTAAAGTTAAGACTCTTGATTTAGAACAGACTGTGCTTACTAGGCTTTCGATGTAAGCTCTACTATAACTGTTCGGTGTCTCGGATAGAGCCTCAGCCCGCATCTGTAAGTCCCACGTCACGCCGTATAGAGCCTGGAATTTCTAGATGTATTTTTACCATTGGCGAAACTCTGGAATTTACAGTGCATGTACTCAGTTTCGGGGCTTTCTGGGCATTTCTTCGTCTTTTTTTTGGATTATCGACGGCCTGCAGCTCCTGAGGTAGAAGTTAAGGATGCCAATTTCACATGCTTTATCGTGGCCTAAGTTTCTCTTTCACTCTTACTTTCTCCAAAACTAATCTTTGGATGCACCTTGGGATGCCTACCTGGTCAATCGTCCGCCGACCGAAGATCAAATAAGCATTGATTGCACTCGTGGCATCGGCGTTGTCTACATCCAGGTATTAAAACGCGTCCGTGGATAAATGGGATGTTCCACTCCAAATGGAATACCGGCACTACCTCGTTGTTGTGCTGCGTCCATGAAGATTAGGCTAATGACGCAATTGTGTGAAATTAAATTGCGTATAATGGAAACATCTAGCGGAGATTACTAGGTGACGCCGTTTTTACAAGCTTACCACATCTCCGCATGTTGACTCTTGCCACTGCTGCAACCACCGTCCGACACATCGCTTTTAAACTACTACTTCTACATGCCTTTCGCTCACATCAGGAATTCCAGCAACTGCTGACCTATTTCGACGTGGAAGTTGCCCGTTTCGTTGCAGCTCCGTTTCCTGACTTGGACGCCTCGACTTCGTCGCTACGTCTCCTTTCCCATCCCGCAGCGCCGCGACCCCAGAACTACTGCGCTTCCGATGCGTTTCCTGCCTGTACCTTACACTGGACGATCCACTTCTGCAGCAGCAGTTACAGCCGCTGATTTATTGAGCTCGCGTTGGGGCACACGAGGACATCACACATCCGGCAGCAGCACGGACCGTTATCGACACTTGTTAGCGGGGGAGGACGCGCGCACCGCGATGCACGCCACCACCATAATGGTATGCTCTTTTTCGCTCTCTGCCGAGGATGGCGCCACCTGGAGTGCCGTCCACCAGCCGGAGGATTGGCGGCATCACGGGCTTGTGTCTCCGGAGCGCATCCCGTCCGACGGCAGCGAGCCGACAAAGCTTCATCCGGACACCGATGGACGCAGCAGCAGCACCTGCACCACCACCACCACCACCACTACCACCAGCACGAGCAGCTGGAAGCAAGTTCCGGCGCACGTGATGAAGAGAGTGATTCGAGCAGCGCGAAGGTGCGGCGGAATGTATTGTGGGTTTAAAAGGTATATGACTTAAGTTGTAAGGCGGGGAACATCTAAAACCCTAAGGTTATTTTGTTTATTAAGCTTAAAGCTTTTTGAGTATGTGACATCTGCATACCTGTTATTACGCATGGTGGTGCTGGATGTCATCATGTAGTAGTAGGTATTATACAGCGAGAGCCCAATTCCAAAGCCACCCGCTATCCTCCCAACCCGCCGGACACGCACGCTGGCTTTCGCTTCCTGCGACGCCTGTGTGGCTTTTGGCGGCTAACATTTTTCTTCTGTCTGATTGCCTGAAATCCTCGTTGAAATTTTCGTCCCGTGCAGCGGTTATCTTCTCCGGAACCTCCTCGCCACAAAGCTCTCGCGGGGGCAAAGCGGGATCAGCAAGTGTACCTCCGCCGCGCAGACGACCGTCGACCTGCTCGACCTGAGCGACTTGGAAGGCGAACTCACAGTGGGCGGCGACGATCCGGTCGCCATCATCCGGGCCGCATCGACGACGAAAGGTAGACGACAAGATTTGCCCCAACTTTACGAACCCGCTGAAACAGACATTGGTGCAGCACGAAAATGCGAAACGGCAAGAGTTGGTGCAGCAAAAGCAACAAAAGTAGCAGTCGGGAAGAAGGGAAAGATGCCGCCACCGGCAACAATGTTATTATCGTCGCCGAAGTCGACAGGACAATTTCCCTCGCTGGCCACAATTCATGAGGAACAGCGATCAAGGCCGCGGAATGAGGGCGCCAAGACAGGCAGCGGCTGGTTATCATGGAGCCGCAAGTGCGACATGTCGTGGTTGTATGCGCCTTGCAGCGGTGGCTGTGGCAGCGGCGGCGGTACTGGTAGTTATAGTGATATTAGGAATAGTACTAGCAAAGTGAATTCGCCTGTTGGTGTCCAAGGCCTTAGCCTTGCTGCTGATTGCAAACCACCAATCAACCCCTCAACAACAACAACAACAGCAGCAGCTGCTGCTGCAACCTGCTCTGGTGTCATGTTCAATACCTCATCAGCCGCTTTAGAGTTTTCAGTTCGCTCAGCAGCTCACAGTTTTAGCACCATGCCTCTCAGTTTTGACCATCAAGCCGGCGTTTCGCGGATAACCAAGCCTTCGGGACCAGAAGTACGGCCCATCGGTGTGGTGTGTGGTTGTTACAGTGGGCTCCAGACTCCCGAAGAGTAGAGCCATCGGGCCAGCTGGCCGTGCACTGCAGTAGAGACTAATATACCAAAAGATTATCATCTCAGATAATTAACCTCTCATCGGTAACCGCTCTCGCGAACAAATCAATTTGCCAGATATAATCCTCAAAAAGGGGTGATGTGCGCCAACGGATTCCCAACCTTTTCGTGGAATTCCTAAAGCTGCGAAACCCTGAATGCGGCCCCAAAAATCAACAATAACTCGACAAATTGCTTCTTCCGTAAGGGAAGGACCAGGTAACAGTGCCGGG